TTTGATTTTATAGTTTTATGAAGCTTATTAGAAGGTTTTTAGGAGGCATTTGAAATTGGGAAACATCTCAAATAGTAAAGATTGAAGATCGAGCAAAAAGGTTAGTTAAGAATCTTCATATTTCAGATTTTATTTGTTATTTCAATGTCTTCTTCGAGTTCTTCTAAATATGATGATCCGGGTTGGAAGTATGATTATAACACAAATGAAAATGACAAAAATTGCATAAGATGTAATTGTTGCAAAAAATATACTAATGGGGGGTATAAACTGGTTCAAAAAACACATTGCCGGTGTTAGAGGGGATGTTGCCCCTTGTAAAAATGTTCTTGAAGAGATTAAGCAATCATAGAGTTTGATAAAACCCAAAAAGGGACAAAGGAACCTTGCCATTTGGATAAGTCTTCTTTTGGCTCTTGTAAAAGTGGTTATCTGGGATGGAAGTATTGTTATAACTTGAATCCAAATGATAAAAATTGTATAAGGTGTAATTTTTGTGAAAAAAATACCAATGGGGGTATATTAGCTGATTCAAAAAACACCTTGCTAGTATTAAGAGGAATGTTGCTTCTTGTAAAATAGTTTCTGAAATTATTAGGGATGAGATTAGGAAATATTTGAATTTGGTAAAACTAGAAAAGGAAAAAAAGGAGCCTTGTTATATGTGAATGTCTTCTTGGGGTTCTTTTAGAAGTGGTGATCTGGGTTGGAAGTATGGTTATAACCCGATGGACAAAAATTGTATAAGGTGTAATTATTGTGGAAATGATACCAATGGGGTTTTTCACCCATTCAATAAACACCTTGCCGATATTATGTTGCCCCTTTTAAAAATGTTCTTGAAGCTACTAGGGAGGAGATTAAGTATATTTGAGTTTAATAAAATACAAAGCAAGAAAAGGGTGAAGGGGCATCAGATAGAGCAGCCAACGCTGCTAAGGCCTCTAGATCATCTGCACAAAGCAAGAGGGGGGTGGGGGGGGTAGAAGAAGAGGTAGATTCATAAGAAACGGAGGAGAACGAACGTTATGTTGAAGAGGGAGATGGCTCTGATAATGATGGACTCGACTTCGATGTATATGATGAGGTTTACCCCACTGTTTTAGATGATGACTGAAGACTCTTGACTCTTGAGTCTTCGGGTGTATATCTTTGTTTTCTTGTTTTTTAGTTTCTATTATTATGTGTATGCCAGACATATATGTTTGTATCGTTGTATGGAATTATGGATTATGAAATGGTATGGACTATGAAGCATGGAAGTATGGACTATGAAGTATGGATTATGGATTGTGCCTGTATACTAATTTACCAATATATTTTATTTTTGGTTGTGCTAGTAGTCTATTGCAATGGCTAGGAACTCTGGATTGTTGGATTTTTAAACTTTTCAATAGTTTATGATGTATTACTCATATTCCCTTACTCCTCTTCTTCAACCTAGGCCGCCCAGAAATTTGGGTGCCCACCTAGGCTCAGGGCGGCGAAGACTTCCATGACTGCCTGGGAACCACCCGACATTTTTTGGAATAATGACAGCACCTATTGCTCTGATACCCATTTTAGGGTTCTTGGTTACCCTCACTTGCAGAATTAGGGACCCCATATATTGAGATTCCACCCAAGATCATCCATGTAGTTGGCGAGATGCAAAATTAGTTAATAGAATGACAAAGAAAAGTGCAAGAAATATAGCAAACACAAAAAGCACTCCACAACGACACACAATTTACATGGTTCACCCCAAGCATTACGTCCACAGGCTCGGCAAGTACGAGAGATTTGCCCACTATTTCAATAAAGATTATTGTTTTAGGTTATAAGAGATATACCTCTCAAAACACTCGTTGATCTTCCCTTCTAAATCCGCTCTCCTGATTGTGCAGCTCCACTGATCAACCTCCTCTTTCTCACTACCACATCATTACTGGAAAGAGAACCTCACCGGAAGACTTTTTCTCTCTAGAATTGGAAACTGTCAACCCAAAACACCATGGGAATTCTGCCTCTCTTTAGGAAGCCATGTCTCTCTCTTGGAGACCCATCTCCATCTTGGAGACCACTTCCCATGACCCCTAAAGGTAACCCTTAAAAGGAAAACTCTTTATTGATCCCAAGGAAAGCCTTTTTTCCCTATTAATCAAAGACCATAATACCCTCAATCTTTTGAAGGAACATAGGATTGGTGATTTTGGCTATCATCAAACCTATCAGTTCTTGCAATTTTTCCCAACACCAAGTGCACGACTCATAAATTTAACAAAAATACAAGCAATAGGTTTCATGTCAGTTGTGGTGTATAAATGTCAAACTTGTACAAATCAGTATGTGTTTGTGCAGCAAAAACGAAAGTACCTGTTGCCTAGCTATTCTAATGTAACAATCCATATAAGGTGGATTTATATGGGTTTTTAATATCTGATATTTCCTCCTTTACAGCCTTGGCTGTCATTCTAATGAACACAATAGACTGTGGTTTTGGCTCCCCTTGGTATACCCAAGTTGGATTGGTGGACCTAATGGAATATGGAGAATTATTACAACCGTTGAGATCGTCTACATTTATATTGCAGAGAAAGAAATTATAAATGGATTATTTGTCATTGGAAAATCAGATATAGTGTTTCTTGAGGTTCATGTAATGTGTTCCATGCCTTGCTTCTGTGCATGATTTACTGTGATTTCTGGAGGATACTTATTTTCCATATTTGGATGAAATGAGTAAGGCTTCTGCATGAGATGTGTAAAACATAGATTTCAAAATAAAAGATGTTGTGTATGACCACATTTCTTAATTCTCATAGATGATTATGTTGGTTTAATTTTTAGTTCTTTCATACAGGTTCCTCATTGGTTAACTTATGATTTCCCCCCTGAAGTCAAAGAAAAACTTGGTACGTTATGGGGAGGAGATTGGAAAGGCCAGGCCCAAAAGTGGTAATCATTACCATTTGACGCTCATTATTTTTAAGTTTCAAATCTTTGAAGGTATTTATGGTGACCCATGTTGCTTTTAACAAGAAAAAATTGCATGGCCACACCGATAAGGGTAGTCTCAATAAGAACTTGATTTTTGTGACTAAAATGCTGCATAATGCGAGAAAGTCCTTAATACAACCTCTACTATCTATACTTTTGAGCTGTAATTATGCATTACTTGCTGCCGTTTGTATAATATATACAATAAGCCTAGTAGAAATAGCAGTGGGAGTCTGTGGGAGAAGTCGAGGAATTAAGCCTTATGAATACTTTGATTGGATACAACAGCTTCAGTCAGTCAATCAAGATAAGGTAGAAAACGTGTACTTTACAAACAAGGTGTTTGAACTTTGAGAAAGATTACAAATAAAAAATAAAAAATATAGATTACAAATAAAAATAAGAAATATATAAATAACTAACTGCTTTTATTTTACCTAATGCCCATATCATTCTGTAGGTTGAAATCTAAGGTCACAATTTGAATGTCTAGGTGGCCCATTTAATCAGTTGGCCTGCAAATAAGCCCTTGGTCCTGCCAGTGGGCTTGTTGGTAAGGCCCGAGGCTGGGATGGATCTGAAAGCTCTATGGGCTACCTAATTCCTTTGTTGGTTACTTGAAAAACCTGTTACATTGCTTTTAGTGCTCTGATAAAACCTTTTTCTTTTTACCACACTATCTGATTATTTCTGAATTTATGACCACCAGGTTCCTTCTTAGATTTACTGGACAGGATAGTGAGATCAATCTTTCCGGTGATGGGACAGAAATTGCTGAGTTTTCAGAGTGGTCGTGGATGTTGCCCCACGAAGTAATTGAACATGTGGGTTGAATTATGCAGGCGCATGCGCACACACGCATGGCGCACACACACACACAGGAGAGAGAAGAGTGGTTTTAGCTTGATTATCTGGATATCTCTCAGTAGATTCTTTGCATAAATGGCAAATCAAAGTAAAATGTGTGCTACTATTATTGAGCAGGCCGTGGATTTTAAGAAGCCTGTTTATGAGGAAGTTTTGAGCACTTTTGCCCCGTATCTTCATTCTGATTCTACAGCAGAGGTATGAATAGTCTACATTAACATCGTAAATGTATTTACGGATTCCCATTATTCTGGACTTAAACATAATACATTTGTTGTTGGTCGGTTTAAAAACTTCTCCATTCATGAAATTTTGCAATCTTCTCTTAACAGGCCAGTACTTAAGCTCTAGGCAAATATTTTCTTGATTTGATTAAGGTCAACATTTGAAGGTTGAGACACGTTCAAGTAAATTCAAGGCAGTTGGATATGTGCCATGTTCTGACACTGTTCGCTCGTTCGCAATTGGAGACCTGGTTTAATGTGGAATTCCGAAAAATATTGAATGAACTCTTAACCCTAGTCTCCTTTGTAATTTTATTTGATTTTACAGAGGTTATTTATCATCAAGAAAAGAAAAGATCTTTTGTGGGGGTTTAGTGTTTTTGAGCTTAGACATTTCCAATTGGAGTTCAAGTTTATGTATTTATTAGTTGATCAATTTACAATGTTGTAGGAGCTGGGCTAGTTTGAGAGGCTAAATTATTTTTTCTTATCAGATACTTGTTTTTCTGTTCAGTAAAGTCAATTAGATTCACTTGGGTGTTTTTCTTTAAAGTTGATAAAGTGACACCATTTAGGAACATTTGGACAATTGAACAAGTCTATTAAGGGCACGTTTGAATGTACTCATTATCCTTGACAATTGACTGTTTCAATAAAATTAATATTTTTAATGAGGTATAGCAAACATATACTTACGAGGTAAACTTACAGTTAGTTTATATATAAGTTTATCATTCGAAAAAGTTGTTTTTAATTTACTCAATGTAACTGTTTTGTTTGCGGCGCTTTTTGTCTAGGGCAGGGAGCTAACAAAAAGAAAGCACCCATATACATAGTACAGAGTACATACCAAACAGCGAAGAAACTAATATCATGCGTAATGTATCTAAAGTACATACCAAATAATTAAGAAGCAAGAAATTCATCATCATCATAAAGTAGGGACTCATGCCAATATTCATTGGAGACTTCAACAGGATCTAGACGGATAAAAAATTTCTTTTTTTTCATAGAAATGTGCTCGTTCAATAAACGATCCAAAAGATATCGTCTGTATGCCAAATGCCCTTTTTGAGACGCCCACTTCCTGCAAAACAAGGTTAAGTCTTATTGGTAGTTGAATCGCGCATTACCCATCTGTTGTTATAGAACCTCCAGAGTCTATTTTCAACCTCAAAGACTCCACATTGCGGCCCTTATCACGAGACAGACTCACTTCCTAGCTGTCATGTGATTCTTGAGATATTATACAAGTATCTATTCTATTAATGTAGTTTTATCTTTGATGAAATTAGGGGAAGGTTTTTATGCTGCCTCTCCTGCATAAAACTGAACCATCCATTTTGAATGGACAGCTGAGATAACCCCAATCATAATGTCATGTTGCTACACTATTTTATTTTTAATGTTATTTTTACAAATCATTTTGACACCAAATTTTGAGCATTCACTCCTCTCTTAAAATTGCACCTGTAAAAATTATAAAACAAATATTTTCAATAAAAAATTACCAAAATACCCCCAAAATTTCAAAGGGTATTTTGGTCATTACATTTTATCAAAAAAATTTAATATTATTTTAGTTGCCCCCTATTCAGATGATAGCATGTACCAAATTTCATATTTATATAATTTATAAAAAAAACTAAAAAAAATAAAAAATGTTTCTATACTTCCTATGCAAGATAGAAGTTCTTGTTTTTATATTTTTCACTAGTACGAAGTTAATAGAAGAATGGATTTTTCACTAGTGCGAAGTTAATAAAAGAATGGACGTCCAAAACTTGGTGTCAAAATAGTTTATAGAAAAAAAATTAAAAATAAAATAGTGTAGGAACGTGACATTGTGTTAGGAGCAACCTTAACCTCCAATCAAAACGAAAGGTTAGATAAAAGGAAGTATATAAGTTTTATGCTGTAGGAGAAGCATAGAAAGCTTGCCCATAAAATAAAATACTATGAAACATCCGATCTAGATCAATCGGTAAGTGCCTCACTTGATCTAAATTTGGACCGACTAGATGGGGGGAAGCATATAGCTTCCATGCCATAGGGGAAGGATAGAAACCTTTTTCTAAGCAAGTTTGAGTGGCGAGCTGCCTCAGTTAGCTCAAAGCAAGTTCAATATTTTTCAAACATTAACGGTCTCGATTTCCTCGGGGGATACATAAAGGGCTCAGTATATTGTTTTTCTAGTCGGCTGGTGTCTACTTGTTAAACAAAAAGTCTATTCATCAAGATAAAACAAATTGCAGTCATAGAAAAGCACTCCAAAGGAAAAAAAATACTCAGTGAAGTCGTATCTGACATTAGTTAATAGAGCAAAAAAGAAGCAAGCGGGCCTGTTTTTTACAATGCACCATGCTTATTTTGAGGATAAAAGATCCAAACAGGGAAAGCATATTTTTAGGGGGTTCACTAATTTCAGTGCTTCCAACTGTTGGAACCTCCACAATCGCCATAAGAAAAGAATGTGAAAATGCCTCCCCTTTTCTCTCTCAATTGAGAAACTCTACCTTGAATTATCGATTCTTCCATAAATCACCTGTCAATACCTGATTTATAAACCAAAAATGAGGTGGTACTGCAATACTTCATGGCAAATGTCTTCCCCAAAGAAGTTGGCTGAGAGAAGGCAAATTGGGAGGGCTCCATGATATAACCCATGAGGAAGTTCGTCCTACAAATCCATAACACCAGGAAACACGATAATTTCAACCAAACATAAACATATGAGAGAGAGAGAGAGAGAGAGAGAGAGAGAGAGAGTGAGAGACAGAGCGAGTACCTTGCAGCATCAAGCAAGCGAGTTGCTATACCCTTTCTCCTGCTGGAGGCCAGAACCCAAATGGCTCTTATGCCAGCAACGGCTGGCACAGGTTCCTTCTCACAAAGGATTGCAGTACCGATAAACTCATCTGCAATCTTCTCTGAGTTCTTTACATTAGATCTTTGGATTGTTTCTCTCTCGAAACTGACATTGCCAAAGAGAAGCACACCAGTTTTTGTTTTGAAATTCTCTTTTGCACTTGAACTTGATGAATTTATGATTGAAGGACAGTTTGAGATGACTTTGTAACCATATCTGATTGGTTCTGCCACAAGACAGCCAACAATTCTCTGACTCGAGATAAGTAGATAAACCTGCATGTGATGTAATTTGAACTATAAATTTGTATTTTTTGTAAACTAGCTAGAAGCATGTGCATTGCCCTCACCGCAAGGAAAGACTTCATTGAAGAATTAATGCCTACAATTTGCTAAAAAAAAAGAAGAAAAATAGGGATATTTCATAAACATAAGAATCTTCTAATTGCTTACTTGGGGGGGGGGGGGGGGGAGGGGGGGAGGGAAAGAAAGGAGAAAAACATCAGAATTCAGCATTCTAACGTATTCTTAATTTTAGAAACAAAAGGATAAACATAGCTTCCCAAAAGAAGCACTGCTTACAGAATTAGAAACACAACTATGCAAAACCAACAACCACATTAAAGCAAAATTTCCAGTCGTAATTCCCATAATTGGTAACTTCACGCCAAATAAATCAAAATAAGAATATATACGCCTCAAATTCCTTATCCATTTTTTTGGGTAAGTTCAAATTACTTATCCATGCATAGCAATATCATGATTTCAAGCAGCAAAGCCATATCTAGCTACCTTGCAGAGTTTATGCAGAAGCCACTCATCATCCAAATTAAGCTCCTTCACCATTATCTTCGCAACCTCTTGGACCTGACAAACCAGGGTAAGTTTGAAGAGGGTTTTCTTTTCTTAATCATACTTCTCTCAAATTTAAAAGAATTACAGATCAAGATGAAGATGAACCTTTTGTTGATGAGCAGGTGGATCGCTGTTCAATATCAAAACTATGCGCTCTCCATTATCCGGATATGTGCATATTACCCTTTCATTATACCAACCCTGCAAAATTCAGAGAAAGATTCAGTAAGATAGAGAGGAAAATTAGAATTGAAACTTCATATGACGAGCAGAGAGATTCTCAACAATTGTAACTGAGAGAGTTCCACGAACTCCTTAATTTTCTTGCTACAAGTGTTTCCAATCAACCGCCTCGCTAAATTCTATGAAAGGTGATAATATAAGAAACCAAAAATCAATGAAATTGAAATAGACTACTTAAAATATCACTTTATTTCATCCGCAACATAGAAACTCAAATTAAATTTTTAAAATCAATTTATTTCATCTGCATCTCTCTAAAGGAATTGAAACTGAATCTGTAAAATCAATCCATTTCATACATGTCAAAAAATTGAAACTGAATCTGTAGAATCAACGTCATAATTCATCCACAACTCTCTATGAGGGTGATCAAAATTCAGATTTGTATAATATTTGTGTAATTTCAAAACCATGAAAAGCCCAGAGCGGACTCTGTATATCAAAACAATAAATATTGGTGAAAACACCAGATTATAAATTGAAAATCTGGCAATTACCTTAAATTGAACTCCCTGGATGTATTTCTTATGGAATGCCTTGTGAACCCTCTCATCCTCTTCATCGCCACATGAATATCGCAGCCCACATAAAGAACACGTGTGAAGAATGAAATCAGATTGTCCAAGCTCCAAATAATATTGTGCATAACTCCTTTTCTTGTCGAAGGTCCTGCTCATTGGATTGCTTTCTTGCCAAGACTTAAATGAATCAGAAGAATAGTTTCTTTCAATTGAACCAAAGGAATTTCTTCTTGGCATGTTTGATTCAGAATGAGAAAGAACCAATTGGAGTTTAGCCTTGCTATCGAGTTTAATAGCTTCATCATCTTCATCAGAAGCTTTACTGAGAAAAAAAAAAGCAGATAAAGACCATGAATAACATCAAAAGTAAGAGCTAAAGCTAAGCGCCTATTCATCTTCACTCTCTTCACTAGCTGAAGTTAAAATAAATAGCCAATAATGAATAGCTGATAGGAAGATAAAATAAAAAAACCAAGTTCATCTTCATCTTCTCTCTCTTAACCAATAATTAAAAGTGGGACTTGGGTGGGGAATCCTAGGTTCCCTAATAGGAATGATCTAGAAAGATACAATCTTGGAAAGGATTCTCATGACATATTGTAATTGTAACCTCTTTCCATATGTATACAGATTACTGTAATCACATGAAGAAATTTAGTGAGAGAATATTTGTGTGAAATTCTCCATAACCATAGAGAGAGGGATATGGATTCTATTTATAATAGTTTTGTACTCATAGCATTTGGTAAGAATCCTTGATGTGAAACATGGACAACTTGTTTGTGATCGAACGATGTTGTAATGTACGAAGACCTTTTGTAAAAATATCAGCATGTTGTGCTGTAGATGAAACATAATCAGGAGAGAGAGAGTAATCTCTCCACTTTCAACTTTTTCTCGAATAAAATGATATTCTAGTTCAATATGCTTGGTCCGTGCATGAAGAACTGGATTAAAAGCAAGCTTATTGTACTCTGATTATCACAACGAAGAATTACACGCTGAATTCTAATACCCAATTCAGAGAGAATGTGGAGGTACCAAAAGATTTCAGCAGCCGTGGAAGACATTGCTCGATATTATGCTTCTGAACTTGAGTGTGAAACAGTCCTTTGCTTTTTACTACTCCAAGACACTAGAGACCCTGTAAAGAAAATACAAAATCCAGATACTGATCTTCTTGTATCATGATCTCCAGCCCAGTCAGCATCAGAATAAGCGATAAGGTTAACGTGTCTTCCTCCAATAGGAAAGAAAATGCCATCACCTAGGGTACCCTTTACATATCGGAGAATCCTTTTAGCTGCTACGAGGTGCATCTCATGAGGGTTATGCATAAATTGACATACTTCATTGACAGCATAGGTGACATCTGATCAAGTGAAAGTAAGGTACTGTAGACCACGAACAAGACTTACTATATAATTTTTTGGATCTTGAACATGATTACCATCGCTAGATAATCTTTTTGTAGTAACCATTGGCATTGGTCATGGTTTACAATTAGTCATTCCAATTTTTTCCAACAGATCTAATGCATCCTTGTGTTGTGTATTTTCATTCCTTGTCTTGTACGCTCAACTTTCACACCAAGGAAATACTTAAGATTTCCAAGATCCTTCATAGCAAATTGTGCTCCGAGCATTTTCTTTAGCTGACGTTATGTCATTGTCATCATTCCCTGTTACAATGATATCATCAACATAGAGAAGCACCATCACCAACTTTTGTCCTTTCTTTTTAAGAGATAGGGAGTTGTCTGCAATACTTCGAGATTAACCCCCTATAAGAAGACCTTTGTAGAAGCTTTCAAACCAAGCTTGTGAGGCTTGTTTGAGACCATATATTGTCTTCCTCTACACACAAGGTCAGACCCTTTAAATTCTCCGTACCTTGGTGGTTGCTCCATATAGACTTCTTCTTGGAAATCACCATGCAAAAAGGTATTTGTTACATCTAAATAATGTAAACTCCAACCGTAGAGATTAGCCATTGTTAATGCTAGTCTGACAGTTCCCATCTTTACAATTGGACTAAAAGTTTCTTCATAGTCCAACCCATACTTTTGATTATAACCTTTAGCCACCAATCTCGCTTTGTATCTTTCAATAGTTCCATCAACCTTGTACTTGATGTTATACAACCATCTACATCCAACAACATCCTTATTTTTTGGTCTAAGTACAAGATCCCAAATGTGGTTGTGATGAAGAGCAAGCAATTCCTCATTCATGGCCTCAATTCACTTATGGGTTTTTATGGCTTCTCTGTAGGTACTTAGTTCGAGGTATTTAGTGAGTTCAATGAGAAATGAATAATTTTAAGGGGACTGTTCATCATATGATGCCGAATCTTCTATCTGAAAGAATCTTCATTGTTGAACACCTCTAGATGATCGAGCTGGTTTATTAGTGTGGGTTGGTGTACTTGAAGCACCTTCTATGGAGGGACTAACATTGTTATTACCACTCGATGCGTGGTCAATAGCTGCAACTATCAAGGACTCAGAACTACTTTGTAGCAATGGTTGAGATCTAACAAATAACATATCCCCTGTAAGCGATGTAATAAAAGAAGGTAAAAGTTGTGAGTCATCTTTCTTGCAAATTTTCTTTTCTTTCTTATAGAACCATCCCTCATCAAAGGTCACATGACGAGAAACATGTATTCTTCCGCTAGGAGGAGAGTAGCATCAATATCCTTTATGCTCGTCATTGTACCTAACAAACGCACATTCTTCAGCCTTCACAGAGAGCTTTCGCCTTGAGGATTTATCAATATGAACAAAACACATGCAGTCCAAAGTACGCAAAGTTGAGTAATCGATAACTTTTCCTGTGAGCATTTGATATCGAGACATATTGTTTGGATTGGCAAAAGTTGGCAACCGATTAATAACAAATACAGTTGTATGAATGTCTCACTCCAAAAATGCAACGGTATCCCGATATGAAATATTAAAGACAACCCAATTCACTGATGTGTCTATGTTTTCGCTCTATTACACCATTCTGGCAGGTGTATATGGACCAGAAAACTGTTGTTTAATGCCATGAGTATTACAGAAAGATCTAAAAGCACAATAAGTAAATTCACCACCATTATCACTACAAAGGAATTTAATTTATAGTTGAAAATGTTTTTTTGGTGAATTCTTTGAAAGACCGAAAAAGCTTTAGATTTGGATTTTAAACATATATTCATGTAAACCGGGTGAAATAATCAACAAAGCTAATATAATAGCAAGAGCAAGAGAGAGAGGTAACATCAGATGATCCTCATAAATCAGTATGAATGGGTTCAACGAAGTGAAAAGTACATTTATTTGCACCAGTGTTTTAAAATGCGGGATGCGGCCCTAATGCGGTGGGGTGCCAATGCGACGATACGGCCCTGATACGGGTGAATCGCGATGATGCAGTCAATAAATGTAAAAAAATTCTAAAAATTATTAAAAAATAAGTTAATACATAGAAAAAAATATGAAGGTGATATATGTGATAGTAGATATTTTAGTTTAATGATTAGCTTCAAAACTATTAGCTGTCGAATATTCTGTATCCAGTTATACACTATTCCCTGATAAAAACTAGAAACTTGAAATCAGCTTCATAAAGCATTCAACAATCAACAACCATCAGTACAAATTTGCACCGTAAGTACAACTATAATTAAGCACAACCATCAACAACCATAAGTACAACCATAAGCACAAAATAATGATATTACAACATACAAATCAAAAGTCAAGCTCAATAAGAGTTAATAGTTAATAAATAATAACTTATTACAATCATCCATTTTAAGAGTCAATTTTGAAATTTGAACTTCATTTTTTCAAATATCAATCAGACAAGTCATCTCGAGAGTCATCATGCGCATCATCAATATCATCCTCAACAGCCTCCATGTATTCTTCTTCATCGGTCTCCTCAGAGTCAGCTTCCTCCTCGACCTCTGAAGCTAATGTGCGAGTGCGACTAGACCCAGCAGCTCCTCTACTCCTTTGTGCTTTAGTGTTAGGTCGATCTTCTTCATTAACCCCTGTTGCTAGCTCGACATCAAGCCATGTAAGATCCTCACCCTCAAACACACGCTCTTGTCTAGGATCCACGGTCCACTCACTTATGGAATCACCATCGGCTTCATATAATTAATAAGGTTGAGCTTCGTGCGATTTTCATACCTCTCCCTAAGCCGCTCGTTATACCGCACATAAACCAAATCATTCAACTTTTTCTGCTCCAACCTATTTCTTTTTTTCGTATGGAGCTGTGGTAGAAATTTGAAATCAGATAAATTAAATTTTAGATTAGAAAATTGAAATTCAAGAAATAAGGATTAAGGAATAAGGAGTAAAGGACTTACATGCTCA